TGTTCTGTAAGGACTAGACTCTATTAAGATTGAAGGGAAACAATTTGCGAAATCAGCTTGGCTTTAAGTTCTTCTAGCTGGAGTATAAACTGTGGTTGAGACTGAGTCTGTACTTTGCCAGTGTCCTAGAGCTTGGTTCTGGAAGGGTAATGTGTCTGGTATCCACTATCACAAATCTTTGCTGTGTACTTAGGTCGCTTTCTCTTCTAAACAGCATGAAAAGTGGTCGGTTCTGTTACTGCAATAAACCTGGGCGGAACACTCAGAGTTGATTATCAGCAGAAAATGACTCCCAATTATCAAAAGATGGGATCCAGGAGTCAGTGCATTAAACCTGCAGTTACTGCTCATTAAAGATTTTATTATTCTTGTTTTATGGTCCATGAGTGTTTTGCCTGTATGTATGTAGGTATGCCACATGTGTACCTGGTACCCACAGAGGACAAAGGGGGGCTAGAACCCTCTGGAAGAGGAGTTAAATACAGTTGTTACCTGCCATGTGGGTGCTGGGATTTGAACCCAGGTCCTCTGCAAGAGCAGCCAGTGCTCTTATCCAATGAGCATCCCCCGCCCTCTCCACTTGTCTGTCTTTAAATGTGATCATATCTTAAGTCCTCTCTAGCCTAGCATAGAGCAGATCCCTTTTCCCACCCTAACTTCTCTACCCCTTCTGCCAATCTCCATTGTCACTTCCTTCAGACTCTGTCCGCTGTTCTGCCCGGGTTTCATTGTTCCCTTCTCTGCTGCCTGCTACTTGATCCTGACTGAAAATTATTTCAGCTAATGTCATTTTGAAAAAGCACAAAAATAGCACAAGATTAACAAAGAAGCTTCAAGGCTGGAGACACAGCTCAGTGGTTAGAGCACCGGCTGCCCTTGCAGACAATTCAGGTCGGGTTCCCAGCACCCACATGGTGGCAAACAACCATCCCTAACACTGTGTCTCTCTTCGTCTCCCTCTCCCTCTCTCCCTCTCCCTCTCTCCTTCTCTCCCCCTCCCCCTCCCTCTCTCCCCCCACCCCTGGTCTTTTTGAGACAGGGTCT